TCCAAGCTAGTTTCATAAGAAGTTTGAATCCTTATGTCATCTAAGAAAAACTTGAAAGTTGAAGTAGTTGGGTTATAGAGATCCTATTTCTTCCTCAACTAGAAATAAGAGATTTAAGGTTTAATTATTCCTTCTTTTTACCTTTTTTCTTTTTTTTTTGGTTTTTGTCACAAAAATGAAAAAATAATGCTTATTTATCTACTTTCCCTGCTCTGGCGTGGATACCCTTCGCAAAAGTAGTCGAGTCGAATAAATTTGCCTGAATTGCGAAGAATTAAACTAATAAATTAATCAACTATAACTAAATTCAAGAAATTATAATTTAATTAACAAGAGGATTTGCTTTTTACCTAATTGAATAAAGTTCAAATCTTTGAAGGTATTAATGAGATAATTTCTCATACATTTCATAGTTTTAATGTGAATAATTTAACTATAATCAAATTCAAGAGAAATTAATCCTGAAATTAACTTAGGACACCTTAACTACTAAATAAAAAGGAAATCATGATTAACTAGTACATTTTAAAAAACTGCAGGTGTTGACCCGGCTCATGACACAGGATCAAAGACTCATATACAACCCGTAAAGGCCAAAGAAATGGAGTGCATTGGGATTGCATTTTGAGTGCTTTTTCGTGAAGTCACACGGTAATTTTAAAAATTTTAGCCTTTGGTAAATTTCTTAGTTATTGTTTTTTCAGAAAACCAGAGGAAAGCCACAGCAGTGTTATATGTAAAATAGAAAGCTTTATTTAGAAACTTCCTAACTGTGGTTTCCACGAGTAACATCACTACACTTTATTCAATTCCAAAATTATTTATTTTTCAATTAAATTATTTACAATAATATTAGAATCATCCATTTCAATTTTCTTCACCTGTGCTCCCTTCTCCTTTCTCTATGCAAATCCTATGCCCTCCGATTATTTTCACCCTTGGTTGTCTTCTCCAACTGTAGCATCAACAACAACACTTGTTTTGTTCTATATCGGTGGTAGTATCAACCTTGCCCCTAGTTCCCTTCTTCGCCTTCACCTCGACAGCATCCATGGTTCTCACCTCAGCATTCATTTTCTTTTGATTTGGCACTAGTTTTCTAGAGGAATATCATTAATTTGCTTTTGATTTGGAACAACAATATGTTTTTTTTTTTCGGTCAACAAATTAGATCAACAATAGTATGCTTTAAAGTTAACTTGAAGATTCTGTTGTTTCTCGTAAAATAAATAGAAGAAAAATAGACAGAAGATAAGCAAAAAACAATTAATTAAAGATGAAAATGAAAAGTAGAAAAATGTCATCGAAAGTATGAGGAGCTTGAGTTAAGGCGTATATCAATTACTCTCTTTAAGACGTTTCGTGCCATTGGTGTAGTAAATTTTTATAGTCACGTCGTCCTCAGGATACAACAGCCCAACCTTTTTGTTGTATCTTTATAAGTACTGCACTGCCCAACCTCCTTGTTGTATCTTTACAAGTACTGCACTCTTGTAAAGAAAGTTTTACCCCACCATCTTTTCCTTTGCCCAAAGAGAATTTGTATACTGTATTTTTGGAATAAGAAAGTAGAATGCAAAAAAAATGTATCAGCCTTTAGTAGGCATGGAGGCGGCCTATTTATAGGCCTTCACAATGTAACTGAAGTAGACAAAATATTAAATTTGAAATGAAGGTTTTTTCCGGTTATCAAATGAGATTTGAAATTGATGTACTAATATATTGCTTTAAACCATTTGAAAATTAGAAACGCATGAGTCCTTTCAATAGTCCTTTCAATAAGACAAAAACGCATGGATTCTTTCTTGAAAACAAAAAACGCATGGATTTGTAACTGGTGATTTTTGAAAAATGTGCAACTCTTGAGATTAAAACTTTAAGTAATAAATTCATAACCGATTGGAAATGATTTTTGAAAATAATGAGATTTATCAATTACAATTTTTAATTAAAATTTACAACACATTTTGTTTATGAGAAAAGAATTATGATTTTGTTTAAGTTAATATTTTATTAATGTTATTCAATTTAAAGCAACTTCAAATATAATGGTTTGCATAATATGTAATAACACATAAATAACACAAAAAATAATATGATTTGAGTGAGAATTGACCGTACAAACAAGCATGATTCGTTGGAATTAGTATTGATAATGAAGAAGAGGAGTATGAATTGAATTTATCAACAATCCTATGGTTATGTTTATTGGACTCCCCAAATTATAATTTTTGAATATTAAATTTAAACCCAATAAATTCACAACATTTTTCAAAAATATATACTTAAATACTAAGATAATTTTTGATAAAAATCACAACACATTACAATGTAACACAGCAGCATTTTAGCCACAGCACGGCATCTCAAACACACCCATAGACTTTATTAGCTTTTCTGCCTTCATCATATATATGTACCCTGTCAGTACCTGCATTTGATCTTATCTTTTTTGATTTTTTATTTTAGAAAGAAATTAAAGATATTCTTTTCCTAAAATACATTTGAGTGGAAATGAGCCAAGTTTCAACATCATAATGACACAAAATGAAAAAAAGGATAAATAAATAAATAATTACAAAAATAGTTTAGGACCTTTTAAATACGACTTTCATTTCCAATTTTGCTTTCTTCGTAAAAAATTTAACAACATTTAATTAAAACTCATTTAGTATAACTAGTGTTTTTTTTCCTCTTTTTTTTTTTCGGAACTGTTTTTTTCCTCTTTTAAGAAAATACCAACAACAAGTTTTCATAACAAGTTTTCAAGATTTTAGACATGTATTGCCAAAAAAATAAGAAGGCAAGCTCTACAATTACCCAAACTTTGATAATATTTATGGAGTAATGCGTGAACATAGACCTTGATATCTACAGAAACTGGTTCTTAAAAAAAATTCTTGATTTTTAGTCATTTAGGGCTAAATATAAGTGTCAATAATAAGAAACCATTTCATACTAAAAACACTTTAATTTTAGTTGTTTATTTTAGAAATTTACCGAATAAATTGTTGCTAAATTTTTAGCAATGAAAACAAAAAGAGAAACAAAAGTGTTAATAAATGGGTTTTTCCTTTTTGTGGTTCCGCTCTATACCAAATTGAAAAAATCTAAGCAGTTGGATGAGTGAAAATCACATCGATTCCCACTTATATCCAAAGGCATTATTCTGAATTAATTAAGCAATACAAGTATTCTCATCTAGAAAGTCTATAGTGTCGCCTTAGTGGATTCACGAATCTTATCACTACAGTCGTCGCTTTAACCACCCCAAACAATCATTCTTTATTAACCATGATTTGAACAACAAAGCGTGGATGCTTATTTTCTTATGTGCAGATTATGTACACCTTTTAAAAGCAGATACCATCATGCTTCCGTTTTCCCTGCATGTGCACTCTTTGCTGCTAAGCAAACAGTGCAACATTATGAATTTCAATGTAATGTTAGTTTTCAATTAGTCAAAGTAACGAATTTTCCTTCGTAAAAAGAATCACACAGCTCTAGAAACAATCTACACGAGTTGGTAACTCAATAAGAAACGTCATAGTCCCATTCCCATATGTAAAAAGCGATGAATTTGAATCTTTGCATCTCAATATTAAAAGGATATTATGGTATACAATCTTGACATAATGTTGTTTTTTAGTTTGTCTTTTTTTTTTTGGGGGTTTAGATAGTGAAGATATTTTCAAACTAATTCTAAATTACTTTAAAACTAATTTTTTTAGACAATTTTAAGAATTCACCCCATATCTGTCTATTATATAAAAATAGTAATATCCTTAAGTATTAGCTTTAAAATTAATATTAAACCTGCCTTACAAAACAGTAGTTTACTTATCGAGCCAATAAAAAACATTTTTTAGTAAATTCAACCTTGAAATTGGTTTGTCCTATTTTAAAACATCAATCTCAAATTAATAATTTTAAGTGTATGACAGACTATATAATTCATTGACAGTAACTTCAATGTTTCTATTATACGTGCTAATGAACCAACTACATTTATGGTTGAGTATGTGCTGCCCACAACTAATACGTGCTAACTACTACATACATGCAAACTCTTGATTGTATCAATTACAACTCAAATATCAATAATCTATGACTGAAAAATCCACTAAAGATGAGACTCTAACCGTGATTTTTAGGGCACAACATTACATAATTGTATATTCAAACAAATCAAAGAAAAGGGCTGCTTTTGCCCCTTTTTCAGATAAGAAAAGATATGTGACCCTTGTGAATGCTCTTTGAAAATTTTGCAGTTTTGTCTCAAATTTGTGGGTATACGTGATGTCGAAAATACATCAAAATGAAATATTGTTCCGAAAATTGAACGGACAAGCAGATGGACCCATGGTTGAAATTTTTGAATAGACCAAAGGGGCACATGGAAGGCCCAAGCTTGAAGACATAGAAGAGTTTTGATAGAATCTTGTTTTGGAGATACGTGGGGATCAAACTTCCATTCACTACAAAAAAATTCATATTTAGTGACTAAATTATTGATCATTAAATCTTTATTTTTTGTTACAAATTATTATTAGTAATAAAATTTAAATCGTTAGTAAAACCCTTGTCACTAATGCTCTTAGTGACAAATTAAGCACCTGTCATAGAAAATAACTTTATAGTGATAAAAAAAATTGACATTATTAACAAGTTATTCATAACAATTTTATTCGTC